CTTTCAGTTTCGTTATTAATTTCTTGCACTAGCTGCTCTATTTTCTCTTTAAGATTGCTATTTCAATTTTGTTTGTTGATAAGCAATTTCTTGTAGGTTCTATACAATTTGCTGATTGTTAGTTGTTGTTTCATATATCCCTTATAACTATTTTTGCTAATTGGTAGAGTGTTCTAGTTTCTTCTTTTCATTTTCAGTGTTCTTTTTGCTGTCTGTAGGAGCATTTCTTTGAAAGCTAGCCATAGTGAACTGGGTGTGTCCTTTTCTGTTGTTTGAAAATTTTTTGCTCCTTTTTTTGATCAGTCTTTGAATTATGCTATTGTTTATCTGGGAAGTTGTGAAAATCTATTTGTGTTTTCTGACAGTTTTTCCTATTTACTATTTTTAACCAGGACGTATGTGGTATACTCATATATAATAAGACTATTTTATGGTCACTTTCTATTGTTGTAGTGACTGATATGTGTACCATGATTATTATGTGTGGTTTAATAGTTGTGACACCTAGATATAGTTTATCCTGTTGCTATATTCTGATACTGGCCTCATATAGGTGAAGCTTTTTAAGAAAGGGTAATTGAATCTAAAGGTGTCCACGAATTCAAAGGCAGATAGTGTATTGATAATGTCTCTGGTTTTGTTGCTTCTAACCTTTCATGAGGTTTTGTCCAAGTTATTGTCTACTAGTTTATTGAAATTACCCATTATAATTATGAAAATATTTTGACTGTTCACCTCTTGTATTTTTTGCTTTACCCATGTGTATAGTTTGGTTTTTGATTTTTTATTTGTGGTGTTTGATGGGTTGTATATGGTGATGATTCTGTATTTGATCTTTCCTTTAAATGCTAGATCTAGTTAAAGTCCTCTATTTTCATATTCTGCCATATTATAAACATGTGTTGTCCATTTTTGGTTTACATTATACTTACTCCTGTACCATAGCATTGTTTCTGTGGTGTGAATGACCAGATTATATAGCTATGTTTTGGATCTCGTCATTTGTGGTTTGAAGGAAACCAGGTTTTGTTATTTCTAGAATGTCTATTTGTTGTTCTTGGCAATATTCTATAAGTAATATCTGGTCTGCTTCATTGTTTATACCTCTTATGTTTAATGTATTTATCTTCTATATCATGTATTCTATGTTTGTCTGACTATTTTTTATTTTCTGCTGCTTGCAGTTTCGTGAGTCCTTTGTTGTTTCAATCCTAATTATTGAAAAGGTAAGAGGGAATAGGTGCTGTTGGATTGTTGGAGCCGCTTGAAGAGTTTAAACACTTCATTACTTCTTTCATTGTGGATGCCAATATGGATTCTATTTGGTTTATTTGTTCATTTATCCTGTTTTGGGTTTGTCTGATGTCTATGTATTTGAGGGATGATGTTCTAAAAATTGAAGTTTCATAGATTGCCAGTTCCTTGGATTTTGTGTTAGGACCAATCTCTAATGCCATGATTCTCCTTTCCAGGTTGTAGATTTGGCATTTAACTGAAAGCATGTCCATTTAAAGTTGTTTGAAGATGTTAATGATTGTTTTTATTTTGTCTGGACCTCTATTGATTCCTTTGGTAATACTAGCATATATTTTGCTAGGTCCTGCTTGATTTGTTGGTTGGCTTGGTCTGAGGTTTCTGTGTGTTGTTGGTTTTCTCCTGTACAGGTGAGGGAGTCTAGATCTGCCAAGTTGAATGAGTCTTGGTCTAGATGGAATTTGGTCTTCTTTCTGGAAGCAAGAGTGTGTGTTGTGCTCGTATGCTCCACAGTAAAAGCACAATTTCATTGATTTATTGATCCATTTGAGATCGTTGTTTTGAAGTTTGGGGGTAGTTTTTAAGGCTAGGGTGAGGTCTTGTTGGTTGGAATAGTATATTATGGCAAAGCATTTAGTTTGATCTTTATAGTTCAGTGAAAGGTAATAAGCTTGTCCATTGATTTGCTGGATGATTTCTTTAAGGTCACCGCTATTGTGCCTTGTGGAAAATTGATCAGAGTAATGCTAAGTTTATTTCTTTTTTCTTTGGTTCATGGGTTTTAGTCATAGGGTATACCCTTATGCAGCTGGTGTCCTTATAGATTGCCCACTTCTGGACTTGTTTTTCATAGTCGCCACTTGTTTTGAATTGTATAATTGCTGATTGAACTGGGCCTGCAGGTTGCATGGTTATATATTCCAGAATCGATTGGTTCTCAAAAAGTATTACTATGTTTGATTTGATGAAGGTTTTTGGGATATCCTACATTCAGATAGACCTTGCTTGACCCTCAATTGTACTGATCTGTGCTACTAATCTCGTTACATTAATTTTATTCTCAGTGATTTCAGTAATACATACAGCCTATACTTTATTATAGTTTTCAAATATGGCTGCGATCATTGGTGTGCCAATTGGTGCTTCAATTCTTGTATGTTTTAGAGTCTTTAGGTGTTCCCATTTGTTTTTGACAAAGAAGATCTTTTCGTTGTCATTATTGCCAGATAGTCTATATATACTTATCAAAACTTTTCTTGATCTGACTGTTGTTTGGATTAATTCTCTGTTTTGACATTCCTCTTGATTTTTGTAGCTGTATTCTTGGTTAAGAATATTGTTGTAATTGTTAACAGATATATTTTGTATGGTTTCCATGGTTGTTGTTGGTGCCATTATGGTTAGGGAGGCTGATCTCATCTCTTTGTTCTGTTCTAATGTTCTTGTTTGGTTTGCAGGCTTCTCTTTCTTCAGATTCTTGTTTATTGCTTTTTCCTGTTCTTTCGTGGTGTCCATTGTTATGTCCATTTCCTTCGAGGGTTTTGTGTCTTAATTGTTTCATTCCTAATCATTGCTTGGTCAGGTCCTAGTTTTTTTCACTAGTGACTTGGGGTTGAACTTTTCTGTTAGTCTTGTTTTCAAAGTTAGTTTTAGGATTTTTCTATTACTGGTAATGAGTCGTTTACCTGTGTAGCTGATTGATGGGTTTCTTACTCTTGCTAACTTCCTTAACATATTCATTGGTGAGGCTCAAAATGAGTGTTTTGTTTTTTTCTTTATATTTTGTATTATTACCATAAAAGAAAATTTTCAAGTATTTTTTCACGAGTGAAAAAAAGTTTTTTTTTTTTTTGAAGTTCAAATTTATATTTATAAAAAAGTTTTTAATAAATTATTATAATTTTATTGTATAGATAACTATTCTTGAATTTTGTATATTTAATAATAATAAAAATTATTTTTGTCTCAATATAAAAAATTCATTAAAACTATATATAGTATAATATTAAACAATTATATTTATAAAAATATTTTCAATTATTATTTTAAACATTTTAATTTATATATTATAAAAGTAATAATATTAGTGATACAATTATTTTTTATTTAAAATTAAGAGAAGTTGCATAATAACTATAGCAACAATCTACTTTAAATTTAGATAATTTTAGAATAATAGATATTATATAAATATTTTGAAAGAAACCTTGAGTAATTTAATTTAAGTAAAATGTTTATTAGAGATATATAATAAAGAGAAAGAAAATTCTGAAAATAAACTTTTGAACAATTACTTTAGATAGCTAATATTTATATAAATAATTAAATATTAATTATTTAATAATAAAAATAATCAAAAGTAATCAAATATATCAGATTTGCCATATTAGTCAAATGTATCGTATCTGTCTACTTGATAATTTGCTAATTAATATAATAAAAATATAATTTACTCTGAATTAGATCCTTGCATCACGTGTTCCATGATCTAAAAATAGAACTTGAGTGACACAATAAGTAAAAACTATAACTAAAGAAGAATATGACTAATAATTAAGGTCAACAATACTATGGATGAAGTAAACAATAATATGCCTAATCCCTCGAGTATAGGAAAATTTCCATGTATGAGACGAGAGGAGAATGCAACAACTTGACCAACTCGAAGAGGAATGACAATGTAAAGTTGGGGCAATATACAGTAGTTCACCTCGCTCAAAATCACCTAATGCGACTATACAGCAAAGCGAATTCGCCTCGTCGTGCTCAACCCAATGAAAGTCGCTTATCATATTGAAATTAATCGCAATAGGAAATATCCTAAAATGTTGTGGCGTGAATGGTCCCCAAGTTAGATTATTCAGCTTCATATACATTTCACCGTAATATTCTTGAAAAATTGATTAACGTATCTGGATAATGATATCAGCTTGCTCGGTAATATGAATGGAGGCAGTGTTTAAGCTAGTGAAAGGAAGTAAATTATTTCTCGTATAGGCTCCAAAATGTTCGATTAGGTTGGAACAAAACTCGCTGCTGCTTTTATGCGATGGATTTTCCAGGGTATGAAAATAATACTTATTAACTTCATTTGTTGCGACGGTACGATCATTGAGATATTCCAAATGAATTAAGGTTTGGCTATTCTTGTCCACAATGCATGTTGGTTCTAGTATATCGAAATACTGTCAATCCATCTAATGAGTAAAAATTCTCGCTTGCTGATATAATATGTTGTTTTATTTCTCTTCGAGTATTACATATACTAAATTAATACATTGGGAAGAAATGAATTTATTCAAACGGGGTAATAAAAGGTTCGAGAGCGTGTCTAAGCTTAATTCACAAATTCTCGAGATATCGTCGTACAGTTCGTCTTTTAATTGGCTATCAGATTGGCTATCAGAAATCCACATTAATGCAGTATGTGATCGGTTTTAAATTGATTGGGCAAAATCTGATACGCATGCATGTATCATAGTGTAATTGGCAACTTTATTTGAGCGATACGACAATCAGAAAATCAACAGATCGAACTTTATACGTATTAAGAACATAATGTTATATAGTACATAGAGTAAATATTTTATTGATATGATAGCATCCTCACTCTTTGAGTCGATATCTGATTTTCCACGACATGGCAATCTCAGTTGTTATCTTCACGAAGCTTTAATATATTTCTGTTACCGTAATAAAGCAAGATTTATTTAGGTTACATTATAAAGTAATCTGAAACTAACAACTCAAAAGAATCTTTCGAGTTCTTGAATTAATTTATCATAATCCAGGCCCTCTATTGCTCGATAAATACTATCCCACACGTCTGACTTACAACAATCTTTCCAAAAATTTAATATCATTTGTGCTCGTTTCTTGATGTCATCATCTCTGTCAAAGGCGACCATTTCCATTGATGGTTTGTGTATCATCAGATAGAATGATCGCACAAAACATATCAAGTCAACTTTTGGCCCATAAACAATATTTTCCTCATTAATTAGTGATTTCAGGACTTCATCTGGCATGCATTCAAGTGCTCCTGCAAAAGCGGTGTCCTCGCAATTCTTTGTACTATAACCCCAGTCAATAATTAAAATATTTTCCTTTGAATCATCTAAATTACGAAGAAAATTATATTTCCGAAGGTCCCTATGTACATATTCATATGAATGAACATGTTTGAGAGTGGTGATTATATTCTTGATATCTTTTTTTCGCAAATTATTAACTTTCTCACCAAGAGGAGTCATGACAAGAGTATTCTCATCGTAAAAAAGAATTTTTGGGATATGAGGTGAACTCAACTCCGAAAGTTCTTCCAACACTGCTCTTTCTCTTTCAACGCAGGGCAAATAATTTGCCTTTTTCATCATTTTCACGGCCACAGATATGTCTTTATATATTCCTTCATACACAACACTAGTTCTGCCTACACCAATAGACCGAACCAGTTTTACAGTTTCTTGGCCAAATCTCAATGATGGTTCAACCCATCCCAATCTTTCTGGAGAGCTTTCAAGTATTGTTACCAGGTATCTCCACCCTTTCGAAGGACTCGCTTGCGTTTTGTATGTTAAGCATTCACTTTTTATGTAGTCATATGTGAACTGAGTATATTTTTCTGAGAAGTTTTAATTTCTGCTCACCCTATATATATTGATGATGATACAATCTGTCAACACTACATACACATAATTCCGTCGCGGCTGAAGTTGGAGTATTTTTTCACCAAATGATAATGCATGTCCTATATCTGCATTGCTAAAGCTTTCACTAACTCGCTTCTTGATCTCACCGACGGCTACAACATTTAACGAATCCAAAGGAGAATCGCTCGGAATGAATACAAAATCTGGTTTTCGAGTATCCAGCAATGGTGAAAAATGTGTATCTCTGACAATAAGTTTGTTTTGTATGTTTGCATAATTTTCTAGTGCCTTGCATTCACACATAAAGTAATCTTGTAATTTTTCTTCTTCTGGATTTGCGTCCATGTCCATATTAGGCGGTTGTGAAAACTTTCCAGGTGACTTTGCTTTGTGACTCCTGGTCAAATCAAGCGGAAACGGAATTTCAACACCTCTTTCTTGCACAAATTTACCTTTTTCTGTTTTTGAAAGAGTACCTAAACACAAATTGTTAATGACATTTCCTGAAATAATTGAAAAACTAGGCGAATAACATACCTATATCACTGTACCATGCATCCGCAGCAAAACGTACCCTCTTCACTTCACGATGCAGCTCACGCATTTCATCATACAGCTCGCCCATTTTGAAACTAATTTCATCAATATGTCTTTTTAATTCTGTGAGATAAACGAAGCGTTAACATATAATCAACATTTATAAATCATATCAGAAAAATTACCTTGTTCTCTACCTGAACGTGAAATCAAATATTGGTTAAATTTTGGAAGACGGAAATACAACAATAAATCAAAAGGTTGAGCCTTAAAATATTCACTCGTATTGACTAATTTATTACGACTTACCAGCAACGGGTTGTTCTACGATAACGCGAATGTTTTTTTAGGCGGGTTTACAATAAGAAGCAGGAAAGAAATGCACAAGAATAAATAAGTATTCGGTATTATTTGCAAATATCACAGAAAACGGCAAATTATCTTAGAATGTACCAGTTGATGCCTTTACAATGACTTGTAGAGGTGTGCTTAAGTTATTCTCGAAGCTCTGATCCACATTATCTAAATCGGGTGAAAGTCTTTTCTTGATCGCTTCTTTCAAGTCATGTATATCCTCTCCTTCAAAAGAAATTCGAGTTGGTTGGCCGTCATACTTGACCCAGATTTTAGGAGTGGCTGATGAGGAGCCTATGTGAAAGCCCACGAAACCTATTTCTCGCAATGGTAATGAGTGACACCTCTACAAAAATATTTATAATAAATTTACCTACCACCAGATAGCTCCGTTCTTAGGGGAGGTACATTTCTAAATCTTTCGACACCTTTGCCTTTTTCGGCTGCACCAGATATGCCAGATGTACCAGATGTACCAGCAACAGTAGGTGAAACGTCCTCTATTGATGATATTCTTAATTCGATATAGTGAATTGTTTCTTCACAAAAAATGCTCGAAAATACATATACTTTGCCTGTAACTTTTTTTTCCGAGACTTTTTCGGTTTTGGTGGCATCTTTTTTGAAAAATGTTACGGGGCACAATAACGCCTATCATGTGTACCACAGCCAATAAAATCATTGTTGCGTCATATTATCCGATATGTCGAGACATTTAGTCTGGTTATATTTGGCAAAAAAAAAAGACAAAGGTAAAAAAAAAGTGTGAGAACGACTTATGAATTGTATTGATTGGTTAATTGGTAAGTTCATCAATAAGATTTCAGCTTTGATATTGTCATTCTCTCTTCTAAGCTTATTTATTTCTGCTGAGCTTAAAATTCAATTTTCTTAACAAGAAGTTAGTAAATTGACTTTCAACGCGTCTTTAAATTGCATGTTTAATATTAATTTACAGTATATCATTTTGTCAAAATATTGGGAAGAATATAGAGTTCATCTTGAAATTATTTTTGTATCAATTTATATTCTAATTTTAAATAAAAATTGTTTAATATTTTTATTACTAATAAAGAAATTCTCTTGAAAAAGCACAGTTTCAAAAAAACTATAATAGAAAAATTATAATTTTAAAATGTAATCTTAAATATACAATAATTTAAAAAAAATTAATATTTTATTAATATTTTAAGTACAAATATTGAATAATTAAATTTAATTTTACTTATAATATTCTATATTAAAATATTTTATAATTTCTTTATAATTATTATTTTATAGCTGACGAAGTCATGCCATATAGTTTTTATTTAATCATTTATATTCTCTTATGTACACAAATTGAATTGCGAGAAAATACATTTATGATAGGAAAAGAACTAATGACTCAGTATCTTACGAACCCTGCGACTTGCTGCAGTTCACCTTGGGTGAATGTTAGCATGTCATGACTCCACTAACACTAATATTTGTATAGAAGAGAGAATTGATATTGAAACTGTTCTATAGAATGTTTTTTATGTTGAGGTTTGTTAATTCTATGAATAAATGTTCCTTGTTATCCGTCATTCCTTCATTTTGGGGGTTCTTTCTGTTTTGTGATTCAGTGTTGTCCCTTTTCCATGCACATTTCATTTTTTTTGTTATGCTTTGTGTTTTTTCCCATTCTAACACCAGGTTGCATCTTAGCTTCCAGATACTTCTTTTTACTTGCCACAGTTGTGCCGTTGCTTCTTTTACTGCAGCTTTGGCTTCTATTTTATTTCCTGTGATTTCCTCTACTATCTGGATCATCTTATGTATGACTACTCCTCTAATGATGTCTATTGGTTCTATTGTTCCATGTTTTCCTTTTCTTGTGTCTGGTTTGAGAAGGTATTCCCATTTGCTTTGGATGGGTTACGATTGTTTATTCCTGTTGGCTCTTGTTACACATTCTTGTGTCAGGAGTTTTGTTGATTTCTCCATTATTCTTGTTTTGTTTGGACCATATATAAACGGGTGTAGGTCCCTTTCTTCTTGTCTTCCACAAATTATACATGTTAATAATTTGTAAATCCATGGTTTGCACTTGTTCATGTTCACTAACGTGGAATGTTCATTTGATTATATTTTCCACCTAAAGGTTCTGTCCCTGTAGTCATCTTGGCTTGTCTGGAGGGATGTGATTTTGGAGAGCATTAGGGTCTGCATGGTTAGTACCCAGTTTATTTCTTTAGTTTTCTGTCCTATTAGCTATGTTTGGTTTCATTGTAGTATTATTCACTTACTAATCCATTTGATTTTTAGCAAGGTCTTGCCTATTGTTTTGAAGAGTAAGTTCACAAAGGACTGGTTCCATCTCAGTGTTGTGTTACTACTTGTGAACTGAAGTTCTTATATTTTATAATATCCTTAGAATTGTCTATGAGTGTTGTGGCTGCTAGTTTGTCTGCTTGTTCATTTTCTTTGTCTCCTGAGTGACCTTTTATCTTTGTCCATTGGACCTTAATTTGCTATGCTGTAATGATTTCTCGAATTGTATTGGTTAACAATCCATTTGGGTTTTCTAATTTTTTTCCCCTGGTTTGGTTCTGGTACAAGGTTGTTCTTATTGTGTTGATGTCATCTTGACTATCTGTAAAGATATTGATCCTTTTGTTGAGACTAACTGTACTAATTGCTGTGAGAATTGCTATCAATTCCGCTCTCATAGAGGATAGTGTGTCTTATATTTCTGCCTGGAAGGTTGACCAGACTGTGTTTGGGTCATCCATCCGATTTCCATCCTACTTCTGTTGATCATCTTGTGAAAGAGCCATCTATATAGAACTGGATATTGTCCTCTGTTACTGATATTCTTGCTATTTGTTTCAACTTCTCGATCGTTCTGGTTGAGGCTTTTAGTTTCTTTTCTATGAGAGTTTCAGTGGTTGATAAGAGGTCTAGGTATATTCTGGCTGTGTGTATGTATATAGCCTTCCTACTGGTTTCTCTTATCACGAGTTCGATCCCTTGGAGGAATGATTGCAATCTATTAAGTAGAGGTTGCCTGGCATCTATAGTTTGTTGTCCTGAGAAGATTCCAGTTGTGCTCCTTTTGACCTTGATATTTACTGAATGTGTCAGGAGTTGTTCCATAATACATTGTTATTGGTTCTTATAGTTTTTCCTTAGTTCTTGGTTGTTGAAAGGGCATCCTTTGCACTTGAACATCGGTAAAGTCTCTTTGTTTCTAATCATGTAGTTCACAATGATCTTTTGGTTATCTAGTTATTTCCTTTTCTTTGTTATTATGGTTTCTCCTTTCTTTTCCATTGCCAACCATTTGATCATTGACTGGTGTTGAGCAGGGATGACTGGGGTAATTGTGTGGAAACTGTTTATAGGAGAATTGCTGTCTTCTTTGCCTGATGGTTCCTTCCTAATAATTTTTAATTCTGTTTGCATTTGTGTGATTAGTTCTTTCAAATCTTTGTACCATTCCGGTATCCTGCCTTGCCTCCCCAGTTTCATTCTTATTTGTTACCATGATAAGATTCTGGTTTTGCTATTATTCAGAAGTTGGTCTTTGAGCATTATTTTTCTCCTTCTGAGAGCAGTTCTGTGCCTGTTGTACTATTCCTCTGTAACAAGTTCTTTGATTGCCTCACCCTTATTTCTAACTGATTTTCCATACCAGATGTGCTCTGTTGGTGCTATCGTAATTTCTTGTATTTTAAACATGTTTAGAATGTCATTTGTAAGGTTGTTCCTTTTCCTGGTCCAAAACGGAAGTCTGTCTGTCGGCACTGAAGTATTTGACCAGTAGTTGTTCTGGAGTTGTTGGAGCCTGATTTGTATAGTGATGCCTGCCAAGTTATAACTGCTTAACCTATTTGTTAGATTCTTTCTGTGTATAAGGATTTGTCTGTCCCATAGGTTAAACACCTTGTAGCCAGAGTCAGCATAAAGGATACAGTTTGGTATTTTTGAAGATAAGCCTGCCTTGTGTTTAAACATTTTGTTTATCTTGCTACTTATCTTATCACACTCTTTCTCAGAAAGAACTAGGTCGTTTAGGATATATTCTATTGCTGGAAAGAGGACTTGATTGATGATGTATCATATCTGCTTGTCCATAATTTTTTTCCAAGTCAGTGTTTTGATTGTGAGATATCTTTTCTTTGATCATGTTTTCTATCAGGTTTTTTTTCCATTTTCTGTTATTCATACCCCCAGAATTCTTGTTGCTTTATCTCTCCTGAGCAGTGGGATCTGTGTTCCATTGAGTTATATGCTTTCTTCTCTTTGTTCTTGAGTCACGTTTATACAGATCAGGAATGATTTCTCACCATCGACTTGAATGTCACTTATTCTTAGGAATTCTGAGGCTTTATTTATTATTAATTACATGTTTGATCTACTGTTATCCATATATTCTGTGGCTATTATACTTTTTTGTTTTATTCTTTTATTGGCTATCTCTCTTTGATTGGGTGATGTCAGGTCTAGAAGAACTTTTGTTTTTATCATGTATCCAATGTGTTTGTCTTATATCTCTTATAAGAGAGAATCATAGTATATTCTCCAGAGAAAGGAAAAGATAGTGTCTCTTTAATCTATATCATCATGAACCTGGTATTCTTCAGTAAGACCATGTGCTGTGATTACTCTGTTTTTCCTACTTTCTAGTGTGTCATTGAGTATCTCAATTATCTTGGCTGGTATTTGGATTCTTTTGAGAACCTGGACTAGCATATTCTTGTTCACTGAGTCGTATGCTTTGCTAATGTCCTGGCTGAAGATTCAGACCTCTTTTTTATATTCTCTGGCTTCCTTCATCACATTGTTGAGAATGTGGATCAGTTTCTATATGCTTCTTCCTGGTAAGCCCGCCTAGTTGTTGGTGCACAAAATCTTATGTTTGGTGCAAATGGTTATGAATCTTGTATTCAAAATGCTTATGAATATTTTTCTTGTTGTTTTGAGTAGTGTGATGGGTTGGGTGATATTGATGTCCCCCATCCAGTTCTTGGGCTTTGGTATTTAATATATATTTCCTTTTTTTCAGTCTTTTGGAACTTTACCTGTCTTTAATATTTCATTGAAAAGACTCTCCAACAGTTTTAAACCCTTGGTGCTCAGGTTTTTTAGGAGTATATATGGAATTTCTGAGGGACCTGAAGCACTGTACTTTTTTTTCTCTTGGATTGCTTCTCTTATTTCTGATGTGTCTATTGGGAGCAATGTGTTGTTGAACCAGCTTTCCTGAACCGTTGCCTTAGGTTTGTATTGCTTCATTCAATGTTGAAAATCCTTTATGTTCAGGATTTGTCTAAATCTGATCCATTTCTAGTAGTGTTTTCGCATTTTGTTTTTAATCGTTGTCAGGTCTGTGATTATTTCAACTTCATTTGCTACTTTCCGTTCTATAAGTCTTTGTGTATCGATAACTCTAAGGTGCTGGTCCAGGATATTGTTGATCATCTTCTTTGGCTGTTCTTCTAGATTTTTATATCTTTGTTCGATACGTTTTTGAATTGTCTTCCCCTTTTCTCTTTCAATTGTAACTTTTGTTATTTTGGTTTCTATCTCCCAGATTTCTTTTATCTCAGATAGCCATTTTTGCAACTCTTTTTTCCTGCCTATCATAGTCTTCTAGAAGAGTGAAGGTTCTGTCAAGAGTGTGT